TACCTCAATCAAGGCACCCATTATGTCACTAGACCTTTTTAATGTATAAAGATTGAATCTTTGAAAGAAAATGAGAGTTTTAAGTTAAACGTATTCGAGTTACCTTTGACGCCCTGAAGAGTTTTTTAATGAGTAAAAATTGAATCCTTGAATGAAAATACCTCAATCATGGTACCTATTATGTCATTTGACCACTTTAATGTATAAAGATTAAATCTTTGAAAGAAAATGAAAATTTTGAGTTAAATTTATTCGAGTTCTCTGTGACGCCACGAAGAGTGTTTTAATGAGTAATGATTGAATCTTTGATTGAAAATACCTTAATCAGAGTACCTTCTATGTCGCTACACCTTATTAATGTATAAAAATTGAATCTTCTAAAGAAAATAAGAGTTTTAAGTTGAACTTATTCGAGTTCCCTGTGAAGTCGCGAGGAGTGTTTTAATCAGTAGAGATTAAATTTTTGAACGAAAATTCCTTAATCAAGGTACATATTATGTCACTAGACCATTTTAATATATATTGATTAAATCTTTGTAAGAAAATGAGAGTTTTGAGTTAAACTTATTCGAGTTTCCTTTGACGTCACGAAGAGTGTTTTAATAAGTAAAGATTGAATCTTTGAAAGAAATTACCTCACTCATGGTACCAATTATGTTACTAAATCTTTTTAATGTATAAGGATTGAATCTTTGAAAGAAAATGAGAATTTTGAGTTTAACTTATTCGAGTTCCCTATGAAGTCGCGAAGAATGTTTTAATGAATAAAGATTGAATTTTTGAATTAAAATACCTCAATCAAGGTACATATTATGTCACTAGACCATTTTAATGTATAAAGATTAAATCTTTGAAAGAAAATGAGAGTTTTGACTTAAACTTATTGGAATTCCGTTTGACGTTACAAAGAGTGTTTTAATGAGTAAAGATTGAATCTTTGGATGAAATTACCTCAATCACGGTACTTATTATATCACTAGACCTTTTTAATGTATAAAGATTGAATATTTGAAAGAAAATGAGAGTTGTAAGTTTAACGTATTCGAGTTCCCTAAGAAGTCGCGAAGAGTGTTTTAATGACTGAAGATTAAATCTTTGAATGAAAATACCTCAATTAGGGTACCCATTATGTCACTAGACCTTTTTAATGTATAAAGATTGAATCTTTGAAAAAAAATAAGAGTTTTGAGTTAAACTTATTCGAGTTTCCTTTTACGTTCGGAAGAGTTTTTTAATAAGTAAAGATTGAATCCTTGAATGAAAATACCTCAATCAAGATACCTATTATGTCACTAGACCATTATAATGTATAAAGATTAAATCTTTGAAAGAAAATAAGAGTTTTGAGTTAAACTTATTCGAGTTCCCTTTGACGTCACGAAGAGTGTTTTAATAAGTAAAGATTGAATCTTTAATTAAAAATACCTCAATCAAAGTACCTATTATGTCATTAGACCTTATTAATGTATAAAAATTGAATTTTCAAAAGAAAATGAGAGTTTTGAGTTTAACTTAATCGAGTTCCCTATGAAGTCGCGAATAGTGTTTTAATGAGTAAAGATTCAATTTTTGAACGAAAATTTCTCAATCAAGGTACCTAAAATGTCACTAGACCATTTTAATGTATAAAAATTAAATCTTTGCAAGAAAATGAGAGTTTTGAGTTAAACTTATTCAAGTTCCTTTTGACATCACGAAGAATGTTTTAATGAGTAAAGATTAAATCTTTGAATGAAATTATCTCAATCAAGGTACCTATTATTTCACTAGACCTTTTTAATGTATAAAGATTGAATCTTTGAAAGAAAATGAGAGTTTTGAGTTTAACTTAGTCGAGTTCCCTATGAAGTCGCGAAGAGTGTTTTAATGACTAAAGTTTAAATTTTTGAATGAAAATGCCTCAATCAAGGTACCTATTATGTCACTAGACCTTTTTAATGTATAAATATTGAATCTTTGAAAGAAAATGAGAGTTTTGAGTTAAACTAATTCGAGTTTTTAATGACTCGGTCATTTTCGGTAATTTCTTTTTTCGTCTTTTTCCTATTTAATTTTTTTTTCCCGTTTATCGTTTTTCCTTGCATAACCTCACTTTTTGTACTCGGATTTGATTCTGGCTTTGCATGCATACATGATATTTGATTTCCATGATAATTGTATTTTTAGTTTTGTAGAAAAGTATACTAGTTGCTTTCTTTTTTCGTAAAGGGCATGGATGCATACTTTCTTGGAAACATTCTTGATTTTGGGGTTTTAGTGTAATTATGTAAAATAATTATTTTTCGTCTTAGGGACTTTTTTTCAAATTAATTTAGAAGATATTTTTAAAAAAGACCTTTTTGCAATTTTTGGAAAGTGTGACATGTGTGACACTCTCATGGAGCCACTTGTTGGCATTGGGGTGGAGTGACTTAGAAGCCTAGTCTTGTGACATGTGGAGGGTGGAGATTCACCTATTTGTTGGGTTAGGATTGGTGCACTTGTTGGCTTGGATGGTTGACAAGTGTAAGCTTAGGGTTAAACATAAGAGGGAGCCATGGATAGGTGATAAGTGTAGGCACAAAATGAGTCTTGCATTAGTGTGTGTATGTGTGTGAGGTAGTGTAAGAGCACCTAGTGAGTGGAGGAATACTAGATCCTCCACTCACCATTTTTCACTTTATCTCTTTCATTTCCTTTGTCCTCAAAACCCTAACCTAGCCACCATTGAAGGAAAAGTTTGGTTAAGAACTTGTTCCATCATTTTGGCCTCCTTCCACTCACCTTAGACCTTGAACCTTAGAGGGTAAAAGTTTCCTCTCACTCTCTTCTACAAAACCCTATAATTGTTTTCCATTTTTAAACTTGGTTGCTTGGATTATAGAGATTCAATTCTCTATTGAGGTAAGGATGGTAATATGTTTATGCTTTTAAGTGTTTTATAATCCTTTAGGGTTTAATATATATTGTATACATACTTTTAATATTGTAGTCTTGCATATTATAGGAAATCCTCACTTTTGACTTAGGATTTAATGATTTAAGCATGTATGATATGTATTTATATTATGTAGAATTATTGATGTCATATAAAATTCTTGTTGACTTGAGTTGTTATATGTGTTGTGATGATAATTCTATATTCTTGTGGATTATTAATTGTAATTACTTTAGAAACTTATTACTATAATGTTAAGATTTAATATATAAAGCTTATTGTTGAGGCATGATTTAAATTGATAAGTTGGTGGTATTATATTGTACATAATATCATGATGAAAACTTGTCATTTGGTATGCCATTTTAGACTTGGAATCCTAAGACATGATTTGTGTGGTTTCAAAATACTTGTGCATGGAAGGTGGTTTATATGCCTTAATTATAGTGTATCAGTTTTGAACTTGATTATGATTTTGGATACTCCTGGAACATTTTTACAAGTGATATGGCTAGAGTTTGGCTCTAGTGCGGGAGGTATGAGTTCTCCCCATTTATAGTGCGCACTAGGGTGGTTTTCCTAGCGGGTTAGTGCTCGGAATAACCGTTTAGATCTTGGTTCATTCCGAGACGTGATGACCAAGTTTTTCACTAATTGATTTCACATTTAATTCCAAGTTGACAATCAATGTTTAATTGTAACTTGTGATTTTTGCTATTGACGAATTGATGTTCTTAAGTACATTGATATTGATTTTGTGTTACTAAAGTATCATTTAATTTAACTTAAAATGATCCTTTAGAACACTTTGAACATAGACGTTAAGTGGAATGATCCCTTGTATTCGTCTATATTGATCTTGCAATGATATTAAAACTTTAGGGTATACGCATATGCTTCTTCCTACGAATAACTTGATTACTCACCCTAGTTGTTAGGGGTTAGAAAATGTTTTATTAAATCCAATAGTCTTGGTTCTAATCAACACCTGACAGGTTTAAAGCATGTGTCTCTGGCCATGTTTCATGAATAATATTGGATATTAGAGATTGAATCAACAAATTTCATTGACTTGGCCATGTTTAGAAGCAAAGTTAGAGATATCATTGTCCTAAGTTCAAATGACAAAACTTCATGAAAAACACTCACTTTGCTCATTTTAACATATTTTCCTGACTAAAAACTTAGAACACGGCACAAATTTATTCGCCAGTACAGGCGAAAAACTGCATTTTCATCCATTACAACTTGCTTATTATGAAGTTGGCCCAATTTCTTCTGGTGGTTCAACACATAATTTTGGCAACACTTAACACTTTCATGAGAACAACTAGAACTCAGCACAGCTTCACTCTCATGTGCAGGTGAACAACTACAATTTATCCATCCCAGCTGTGCAGTATTATCAAGATGTGCAAGATGATGTGCTCAATCATTTAAGACTAGCAAGACTGCAGTTGTATCTCATTGTTTACCATACTGCCTCCAGGAGCTAATCAAAAGTTAACGAGACGACATCAATCTCAAAAATAAAGTCAGCAGGTTCAACACCAGCAGATCCAACACCGGTTTGGAATAGTTTGGTTGAAACTGAATGGCTGGAATCATCAAGCAAGCATATTCACCCCATAGCGGGTAGAATCCTTAATATGACATTATGGCTATAATTGGTCAAGAAACCATACTTTCTGTTCACTATAATGAAGCTCTTCCCTGAATCCATTTAACTACGGGAAATGTCCCTGTACAACCGCCCTACTGTAATAACACTTGATGACTGACATTTCACATCTTGCCATGCCCTTGGCAAGAAAAATAGAAAAGGTAATGGGCTTTTTGTACATTAAATGCATCTTGATATTTCTTGACCTTTCTAACATAAATTTTAACACATAAGTAGTTGGTTGTCTGGGCAGCTCTGAATTATTCATATTTCATCTGAAACCCTGCCCAACTATTATTGATTGGAAATCAACATTGGAGCAAAAACATTTCAAGAAAAGAGTAAACAAAAGGGGAGGTGTTCAATGATGCCCCTTCCCTGGCACTCCACAAACATGAACGTACTGAAAATAGACACAAATGCTTAAAAAAATAAAAAATATAAAAAATAAAAATAAAAAATGATATAATTTCATGTGCTAATTAACCGTTATACAATAGAAAACTAGGAAGTATGAAAAATGAAAAGGAAAAAAAATAAAATAAAATTTATCCTCAAGAATTTATTTGATCAATATAAGAGGCTTGCCTGACTTTAATGAAATCCAATATGCTTGAGGCATCACCATGCTTGATAACTCTTCCATCTTCCATATAGACAGCACCATCCGCATACTCGAGTTCCTCTAAACGATGGGTCACCCATAATGCAGTAACTTCTTCAGAATTATTCAGAGAGTTCTTGACTGCTTTTATTACCCCAATCTAGCAAAATTTGGCAGTATAATATTTTTCAGAAAATGAATAACATACTAATAAACTGTTCCAATAAGTTGTAATTTGTAGAGATATTAAAATACATTTTTTTTTAAGGATCTAAGATAAAAAAGATTCATCACTATCATAAGCACATAAAAATATATTTTGTATGTAAGGATAAACTGTTGTTACCATATCCTTGCAACACCTCAATATGGCAGGTAAAAGAACTACCAGCACCGAAGGGGGAAGTGCAGGGTTCAAAGGCATTTGTGTGCGTGACTTGTTAAGAATAAACAAAATATGAGAGGCAACAGAATCAAAGTTGCGTCAACCTGCTCACTCCAAATGTTAGAGATATACTGTTGGCAGTCATCTACCACGTATGTTACGCTGTCGACTAATGCCACTGAACATCACCGTATAAAGTTAGCATCCTCCCCCTCTCCTCTTTCTCCCTCCTTTTTGGGGATCTAATGAGAAAAAAACCCAAACTTATATCTAACAATTTATTTATGTTTTGCTGATTCCTCTTTTCCCCCTTTAATAGAATTTTGACACGATAATGATGGATATTATGTCATGCTAAGATATAACAAAAGCACCAAGTATACATTTTACATTTAACAGACAAGTGCTGTGTAGCTTTCTTTAAACATGACATGAGATGCTATAGAGTGCATGAACAAGGTCATGGTAATTTTTTGCATCTACAGATTAATTGTACTGTAAATGCAACCTGATCATTGACATTGAGTAGTAGTACCTGATCTTTTTCATCCAAAAACGTTGTGAGTTCATCCAGTAACAATACTTTGCATGCTTCTGCCAAAGCACCAGCTATGGCAACCCTTTGTTTCTGACCACCACTTAGAGTTTGAACTGGTCTCTGACAAAAAGAAAGGTTGTCTTCAATATATACTCTAATAGTCAACTAAAATCATAACATGTTATGACGTACTTGCAAAAAGTCAAGCATGTCCACAGCATCCAAAGCTTTTGCTACTCTTGACCTAATTTCATCACGGGAAATATTGAATTTACCAAGGCCAAAGGCAACATCAGCTTCTACAGTGGGCATCACTACCTGCAAAATGGAAGGGATAGTGCCCATGTAATTCATGCAAGTCCTTCTTAATGTTGGCTCAATTCACTAAAAATATGACTAATGACGGGAACTTGTTAGCATGCTTTATGGCTTGCAAACTGAAACATGCTGCAATATCACTAATGCATTCAGCTATAGGACCAGTGCTTGAGAAGGAAAGCACAACCTTCATTCAGAAAAACAAAATTTGGCTTCTACTGAAGACGTGTTGCTAAAAGACAATGTGAGGCATCTTCACATACTTGTTTTAGTGTGGCAAAACTCTTTCTTTGCTACATTTTCTTTAAAAATTCTGTTCACAGAAGCAGGATTAGCTCTCGTTCCAATTTGACAAGTCCTCTGAAGCACCAACTAACCAAGCTTATCCGTGCGCACTTTTATCAGTCATCACACATTTAAGCCAGTAGTTCATCATAATGGGCAATTATCTAGTAATGTTTCAACTAATGGAAGTGTTGGAAGGGGTGTGGAATGCATACATACCTAACCTCTATTATTCATAAAGTAGGTGAACCCATGTTCTCATGGTTGGTTGCCAACACTTCCATCATATAGGAAGAATATATGGAAAGAAGTTGTTGAAACAACATATCCCATAATAATCAGGGTACACAAACACAATTGTTTGTAGACTTTATAACTTTTTCCTCTTATATTTATGTGTTGCAGGAACCATCTCTGTTTGTTAATGGCTTCATGAAAACCAAAAAGCAGTTTGATAGGAGGCTGGTGCCAAAGAAAACAGTTTGAGGCAGAGTCCCAGGGCAACATCCATATCCTTGCAAGTAATACCGTGGGAAAAAATAAAAAATAAAAAAATAGCAACAACTACTGAAATTGTGAAACAAAAAAAAGCATTGGTGACAAAAAAACAAAGAAAATGGTTTTCAAGGATGCCGCATGAAATGAGTTGGATGTTTCAAAAGTCACAACTGGAAGTGTGGTTTTTTCAATGGTGTGACAGTTTGCGTTGGGAAAGATCTGCATTTCAAATTGAATAATGACTCAGCTGTAGCTCTGCTTAAAGAGCTTCGGCTCTTTGCTGCGGTTGAAGGTTTGAACAGTCAATCATCTGAGAATGAGGTGATGTTGTCAACTGAACATGATGCTTCGGAAACAGAGGGGAATATGCAGTTAGGAGTGGTTGATGTCCCTACTCAGGAGCACTGTTCTAAAGATTCTTTTTCCGGGACGGATTTTGATCAATCTGAAGTGGATTAAATGGAACCTCTGGCAGTGCCAGATTGTTTGGAGACGACCAGTGATCTGGGTATGGAATGGGTCATTGAGAATATTGGAGCAGTAAGTGAAGCTTTGGGTGTCTCTGCAGAAGGTTATGAGGAACAAACCCTGTCTATTCTTCACGAAATTGTTGCAGGAAATGGTAGTGCTGAGCCTAATCGTGGCACAAAAGAAGTCAAAGTCAGAAATTCACATCGGAAAGGCGAACAGGAAGTGAAGAATCTGATTTCTTGTGTTAATTATGACGGGAAGAATGGGACGACCAAAGAAAGGGGAAGAACCAGAAGTGGTAAACAGGGAGGAGGAGGAGAATTGATCGTTTTTGGTTCTACATGAAGCTACAACATATAACATGGAATGTTCGTGGTCTTAATGATCTGAAAAGAAGAACAGTTGTCAAGGTAGCTTTGAGGAAGTGGAGTGCTCATGTCGTTTGTTTACAGGAAACTAAGATGACCGCTATCACTGTTGAGATTGTCAGGAGTCTTTGGGGAGTTAGGTTTGTGGAATGGGAAGTGCTGAACGCAACAAGCACTTCAGGTGGTATTCTTCTCATGTGGGATCGACGGTGGTTGTCAAATTTGAATTGTTGGAAGCGTATTTTCTCTGTGTCTTGTTTGTTTTAGATGGAGGAAGACAATTTCAAGTGGGCGTTTTCAGGTGTTTATGGGCCTGATAGTGGTAGACCAATCATGTGGGAAGAGCTTTGCTATGTTAAGGATTTATGGTCATTACCTTGGTGTTTAGGTGGGGATTTTAATTCTGTTAGGTCCCCATTTGAGAGGTCCACAGGGGCAGGTGGTCTTCAGAAATGACCATGTTTTCAGAATTCATTGATAGTAATTTCCTTATTGACCTACCATTGGAAGGAGCGGCCTTTACTAGGTCTAATGGTAGGGAACCGGTTACTTTTTCCCGGTTGGATAGATTTCTAATTTCTGGGGCGTGGGAAGAGCATTTCCCGGATGTCTTTGAGGCTGTGTTGGTTAGAGTCACATCTAATCATGTGCCTTTAGTTCTTGATTGTGGTGGTTTGAGTTCTAGACGCACTCCTTTCCGCTTTGAAAACATGTGGCTTAAATCCAAGGACTTTCAAGGGAAGGTTCAGTCTTAGTGGGAGGAAGCGAATTTCACAGGCTCTGCTAGTTATATGTTAGCTAGAAAGTTTCAATTTCTTAAAACTGAGTTAAAGAGGTGGACTAAAGAAGTGTTTGGGAATCTTGAATGGAAGAAGAATAGAGTTCGTGCTGATATTGCTAAGCTCGATCGTCTTGATGAGGTGGGACAGAGTGGGGAATCATTACGCTCTAAAAGAGCCTCTTGCCAAGCGGTTTTTGCTGAGATTGCTCTTATGGAGGAGATTTCGTGGCGCTAGAAGTCTCGAGCTTTGTGGTTAAAAGATGGGGATCATAATACAAAATTCTTTCATAGACTTTCCAATGCTCACGGAAGATGTAATCACATCGGGCGTATCTGGGTCAATGGTTCTGAATTGTGGAGGGAGGACGAGGTGCGCAAGGGAATCGCTTCTTTTTATCAGCAGCTCTACAATGAGACTTTGGATTGGAGACCTACTCTTGATGATCTTCCATTTAATTCTATTTCTGCGTTGGATAGTGATAGGATTGAGATTCCATTCACTGAGGAGGAAGTGCTTAAAGCACTTTCTAGTTGTACCGGGGACAAAGCTCCAGGGCCAGATGGATTTACTATGCGGTTTCTTAAGAAGAGTTGGGAGGTGGTGCAAGCTGAGGTGATGAGCACCTTTCAGGATTTTTACTCTCATGGCACATTTGAGAAATCTCTAAACGCATCTTTTATTGCTCTCATTCCTAAGAAGGGCGGTGCCTCCAATATTAAGGACTTTCGGCCAATTAGCTTAATTGGAAGTTTATATAAGCTTATTGCCAAGGTTCTTGTCTCCAGGATGAGTAATGTTTTGGATGGTCTCATTTCAGAATCACATAACGCTTTTGTTGGTGGGAGGCAGATTTTGGATTATGTTCTTATTGCAAGGGAATGTATTGACTCTAGATTAAAAAGTGGGGTTCCTGACATTTTGTGTAAGCTTGATATTGAGAAAGCTTATGATTTTATTAATTGGATGTTTGTTCTGTATCTGCTTCGGAGGATGGGGTTTGATGACAGGTGGATAAAATGGATTGAAACTTGTATCTCGTCAGTTATGTTTTCTGTGCTGGTGAATGGTTCACCTGCAAGATTTTTTTGCTAGCTCGCGTGGTCTGCGGCAAGGAGATTCATTATCGTCTTTTCTTTTCCTTATTGTCATAGAAGGTCTGAGCAGATTAATAAGAAAAGCGGAAGATTTGGGTTACATCAGGGGGTTCAGAGTTGGCAGAGATGTTGAACATCAGATGCAAATTTCCCATTTGTTGTTCACGGATGATACTTTGGCATTTTGTGATACTGAAGTTTCTCAACTCAGATATCTGAGGTGCATTCTTGCTTGCTTCCAAGCGGTTTTTGGGTTAAAGATTAATGTCGGAAAGAATGTGTTTCTCCCAGTGGGGATGTTCCAGATATTTCCTCCTTAGCTGCTATCCTAGGGTGTGGAGTTGGTGCTTTTCCTCTTCCTTACTTAGGATTGCCTTTGGGTGTTTCTTCTACACAAGTTGGGAATTGGGATCCAGTAATTAATAGATATGAGAAAAGATTAGCAGGATGGAAAAAACAGTATCTATCTAAGAGGGGAAAGTCACACTCATTAAGAGTACTCTCTCATCCCTTCCTACCTATTTTTTTTATTTTTGTTTCAAATTCCATGCTCTGTTGCTGAAAGGATTGAAAAAATTCAGAGGGATTTTCTCTGGGGTGGAAGGGAAGAAAAGTTTAAGTATCATCTTGTTAATTGGGATCAAGTCTGCCAACCGTTGTTAAGTGGGTTAGGCATTCGAAAAATCGTTCCTTTTAATCGTACTCTCTTGGGAAAGTGGTTATGGAGATTTGGAAGGGAACGCCATCATCAGTGGAGAAGAGTCGTCTCGTGTCATTTTAGTGAGGAGAGTGGGGGCTGGTCATCTCTTCCAGTCACTGTTACGGGAGGCGTTGGTGTGTGGAAATTCATTCGGAAGGGCTAGGATGTTTTCTCCACACACATTAGATTCAAAGTTCGTGATGGCAAACATATCCGTTTTTGGGAGGATCTTTGGTGCGGCGATCAATTGCTATCTCACTCCTTTCCTAGACTTCACAGTATTGCAACCAATAAGCATGTCTACATGATTGATTGTTATCATCTTGATAACAATGGGGTTATGTGGGATGTGCAGTTTAGGCGGCCCTTTCAGGATTGGGAAATGGAGGAAGCTTGTATTTTTTTGGATACGTTGTATAGGCAGAAGGATATTGGCAGATGGTGTGATGATATTTTGTGGGTTCCTTTAGCTCATGGTCGGTATGGTGTCCGATCCATGTTCTTGAGTTTGTCCAATTTCGTTGGTCACGAGTTCCCTTGGAAGTCTGTTTGGCGTTCTAAAGCTCCTCTTCGAATCGCATTCTTCGTTTGGACTGCCACATTGGGAAAGATTTTGACATTGGACAATTTGAGAAAGAGAGGCAACATCATTGTTAATTGGTGTTGTTTATGTAAAGCTGATAGTGAATCCATGGATCACATTCTTATGCATTGTCCCGTGGCGTATAATTGTTGGAGTTCTATTTTTTGCATATTTGGCGTTTTTTGGGTAATGCCTAAGCACTCCTCACAATTGATTAACGCTTGGAGAAGGTGTCCTGTTAAAGAACAAGCTCGTGATTATTGGAGGATTGTTCCGCATTGTGTCTGGTGGTGTTTATGGCGTGAGAGAAATAACAGATCCTTTGAAGGAAAAGAATCGTCTTTAGCTAATTTAAAAATTCATATTCTTCGTTCTTTGTTCTGTTATGTAAGAGGAAATGCATGCTCCACGATTGATGATTTCTTTGATCTCTTGGATTCTATTCATCCATAGACCTTTTTTCTTCTTGTATTAGGGACGCGTTCCCCTTTTGAACGCTTTCCTAATATATTTTTACTTACAAAAAAAAAAGGATGAAATGCACTTCAGTCATTCCGTTGCTCCTTAAATCCTACAAATTTGTATGGCAAGCATGTACTTTTCTCTTTTAATATAGAGTGAGAAGTTGTGAAATGCAAAGTTTGACTTTCAAAGCTCTTAACATTCTAGATTGACGTACTTATAAAAAAAAAAACATTCTAGATTGACGTGAGTCATGAGCAACCCCAAAAGTGACCTTTATTATGTCAAAAAAAAAAAAAGAAGAAAATACTGGTTACTGATTAAATGGTACTTCCAGTTCATATGAATTCAGACATCCATTATAGGAAACGGAAACATTTGCAATTTTAATCCACTAACTATTTTACGAATAAGAAGTACATTCCATCCATTTAAAATAATCCTCTTAAATGATATATAACTGCCACAAGGAAAGACGGAGTTAGGGTGGTGTAAGGGACATACCATTCCGTAATTTCTAAGTCATATATGGTTTGATTTGAGAAAGTAAGTGCAACAAACAAAAGAAAAATAAATCAAAAATAAATAATAAGTAAATAAGGAAAGACCTGTTTATGTTATTTGTAAAATGATGACAACACCGCAAAGTTATTCACAAGATCATATCATTTTAACTTCAGGAGGAAAGCATGAAAAAACACAACTACAATAGCTTTCGTAGTCAAAGTTTGAGCATGCTACTTACCTACAGAAAACATAACAAAAGAAAATAAAGATTGAGCATCCTAGAAGAAACGAAGTAAAGATGCTCTGACATGCTCTTTTGACCTTAACAGCAAAATCATTAGTGAGCTGTGATGCTTCATTCCTTTCAAAGTCCACAAAAGATTATAAATATACAACATCATACTTATCCCATTCCTTCATATAAAAACAGATTCTAAAAAATCAGATTATGGGTTACTGAAAGCTCTTAGGTTCCATACAACTCTCCGTAGCTTGCCAAATTACCAACCTGTGTTTTCTATTTTGAATTTCTGATGCAACTAAGCAAGGATACAAAGTCACATTCGAATTATTTGGAAGTCTAGAATTTATAATCAATTCAGGCTTAGGACTGAAAAGTATTTTCTGATTGGTTTATGTTTTCTGCATATGCATTCCATCCCTGGCACATAAATTTCTTAATAATAGTTTGCAACCCCATTTGACTCACTTCCTTAGAAAATCAATCTCGCGCATCTAAAAGCAAGAATAATTCACACTTTCATGGTCAACACCAATCAAATATTAAATCCACGAATTTTAAGTACTTGGAGGATTAAGCAAGATTAATTCACACTTTTATGGTCACCACCAATCAAATATTAAATCCATGAATTTTAAGTACTTGGAGGATTATCATGTCATTAATGTTTCAAGGTCTTTGATCATCTTTAATAGCACTTCAGTAACTCTCCATCCCATCATGCAAATAAATAATGTAGCTAATGAGAAGGAACCAGAACTAACCTGATGATCCGGGTTCTGGAAAACAAAACTCTTGGGTTTCTTCACGTACGCAAATCCATCAATCGGATTCAATAGACCGGCCAAGATCTGTGTAATACATGACATAACAATTTTTACTTAGAAAAACCGTAATTTTAATTGAACATATCATGATGATGATAGCTTGTCAGATTGCAAGAAATGTTGGAACTTAAATACACAAAAAGTCAGTTACAACTTTAACAAGTACAACAGAGTGAAATGTGGCATACCTTCAAAAGGGTTGATTTCCCGCAACCATTGGGTCCAAGAAGCATCCAAAACTGCCCGGCAGGAATCCGAAGCGAACAATCTTTCAAAATTGGTACGAACTTCCCCTGCCTTGTTGTGACTGAGTAATTCAAATTCCGACCTTCAATGGCAAAATTCTCAGTAGAACCATTCCTGCATTAAACAGAAACAAACAAAACAATCAACATAGCCACATCAACAAAAACAAGAAACCCAACAATAACAGTATTGTATTATATGAGTGTCTATAAATAGATTGAATGTGTTTGAAGAAATGCCAAGCTGAAATATGTGTGCGTGTGGGAGAGAGAGGGGGTTCGGAACCTGGCGGGACCGATGGAGTGAAGGGGTGGAAGTTGAGGTGCAGAGGCACGAATGAAAGCCGAGTGAATCATTTGTGTATTTATATATATATATACAGCTAATTTTCCAACCAAAACTTGACTACCAAACGGTTGGAGAATCCAGAAGCAAAAATTTGGCAGTAAAGCTTCAAACGTACCAATTCGGACCCTTCGTTCATTCAGAGAAATTTACCCAAAAATATGTTCTTTTTGGGTGCGAATAGAGGAAAAAGATATTGCTAACTACTAACGATGTCAACTTGATTTGTCCAAATAGAAACCTGCTCCTAACGGTGAGGGTTATCATCCCATCTAATCGGGTCTAACCCGAACTGGCTCTGTTAGTCTTAAAAATGTATATAAATAAATATTTAAAAAAAAAAAAAAATCTTTTCATTATTTTTATGATGATATTCAGATTTGTGTTCATTAATTTAACAAAATTTATAATTATAATTGCTAAATAATTTATTATATTTCTAACTTAGAAAAAAAAAAAAAAAAAAAAAAAAAAAAAAACTTATATCTCAATGATGATTAGTATTATATTTAGTTATTTTATATTTAGCGAGAACCTTCAACTCAATTCCGACTCAAAGCAAACTAATTTTAATTATTATCATCCTTGTTTAAATTTAAAAAATAGGATCGACCTAATTAAATTATCTTTCTCCAATCTTTTTTTATTATTTGTCATTTCGTCTTAGTTTTTGTCCTTGTTTAATTCTAAAAAAAATAGAATCAGCCTAATTGAATTCTCTTTCTCCAATCCTTTTTATTATTCGTTGTTTCACTTTAGTTTTTGTCACTCTCTCCGTTATTTACTTTTTTTTTATGACTAATATTTTTTATTGGACCAGTGCATCCCTAGGTCTTCGACGTACATGTTCAAAATATTAAAGAACTCCACATAATTTTTCTTACCAATGAGAGTCGTTCCTAATTTTTCTCACATGTTCATCAGTAATCCTCTCTCTCCAATTCACTCCACTTATCCATCTTAGCATTCTTGTTCTTTTTTCTGTTTTAGGGCTCAAAACTCCATTCCAGAGCAAATGAAAAAGATGCAGCATGCCTTTGTTTTCTTCTCCCGTGGGAGTAACTAGGACGAATTCATTATTCACCCTAAAGTATAAAATTACCATGTGAATTTACCAAAAATTCCCTTTATCCACTGAGGTGGCGCTTTTTGATTAGCCAATATTCAGATGGCAGTTAGAAGTTAAAAGAGTGACCATTCCTTATCTATTGAGAGGTGGTGGTTTACAAACTGAGAGAGTCACACTTGGAACTTCAAAGCCCATCTCTCATGGCTTTCTCTGCAACTTTTTCACAAAGCTCCTTCTCATACTTATCATCATTCCCACATACCAGAAAAACAAACCCTCTTCGTCTATGGTCAATTAAAGCCGTAAAATCGACCGAACCAGAGAATGAGAAGCTTGCAGAGACAAAATCTGAAGGCTCCTCCAATGCCCAACCTTCAACCTCTGTTTCTAAGCTTCCAAAAAAACCCGTATATTCCAGTTAAGTTTCAAAAAACTCTCTTAATTGTATTTTGAATCTATGAACCTCAAAGAAAATACTTTTAATTCCCTTTTTTTATATATATTTAATTTCTTGGTTTACTGTTTTGCAGTGAAGAAAGGTCAAATTGTTAGGGTGGACAAAGAGAAGTATCTCAATAGCGTCAATGTGAGTGCAAGTTGATCTAAATATTGTAATTAGTCAAAAACATAAAACTGTGTTGCTTTGTTTTGCAAATTAGATTTATTTTTTTAATTATTACATTTATAATATTTTTACATTTCTCTGTTGAAATGGCAATTTAACTTTTAAGCACAAGGGTTGTTTTTCAGAAAAGAAAGACATTGTTTATCACCAATCATTTTGGATATGATCATCAAATTGTGGATTCCATTGTACCACACTGTAGTTTAGTTGATGTAAAGTCACTTTTTTGGCAATAAAACCAAGGTTTTGCCCAATAAAATTTATATTTATGACATACAATATGTGACAATAAAAATTAAGATTTACCCAATAAAGTTTAGATTGAAGTTATCTCCCTCATGAAACATTGATATATAAGCAAAAATAATAGAACTAAATCCATAAGAACTTCGATTTGTAGAGCCAAAAAAACACTCACAAATCATGTAACATTCTTGTTTGCAACTTGAGACGTGAACATGCAGAGGAATGTAACCGGTGACATGTTTTTCTTCTCATATCAGTATTTATCTGTTGGACATCCTCCTTACTACAAAGGCTTGGATTACATATATGAAGACCGCGGTGAGGTATCTTCCTAATATTCTTTTAGAACAACTTTTCAGTACCATTATATGTGCACAGACTGTCAATTCTTTCCAGTGATTACTCACATTATACTGTTATATTAGGTCTTGGATATACGTATATTTGACACAGGGGAGTATGCACTGGTATGAACCCTTCTTGTGCAGTCTATGCCTGTTTTCCTCTGATTTGATAGTCCACATTAGTATAAATTAGGATGATAAATAAACTATACAATCAGAATATATATTATTGCAGTAACATGTATGACTAGGGTACCTATTAATGGATAAAGTATTTAATGAATTCAAACTCAAAGAATAGCCTGAGACATTAAATGATGCAGTCATATACATTTTCCTGAAAATTTTGGTTTTCTTTTATGAGATTCCATTTTCTTTTCTTTTTTTAATAAAGAAACATATAACGAATAAAACGGAAATTAACATTTGCCTACATGAAATATAAATAGAGCATGGACAAAATTTCAGGTCATAATTTAATGGTTCTTACAGATTGCATGGGTAGGGATCCCAACTGCACCTGCCTGGCTTCCAACAGAAATGCTCATTAAGGTACTGTCAAAATTTTCAGCTTGTTCTCATGGGTAGCTCACTATTACGACTTTATTTCTGCAGTTGAAATTCCCAAATTTTTTTTTAGAAAACGAAGACTTGAAACAGAGTCATTTTGAGGTACCTATTGTTTGCTTACTTCTTGTGTTTGCCTGCAGTCTGATAGGCTCAATTATGAGAGAATGTAAATTATATGCTCCTCCGGCAGAATTTTAAGATCAGATGATGGTTATCGATATTGCTTTCCTCGTGCAGTGATATTTAGAAGAAGAAAAAATAATTGTCTTGAGGATTCTTTGGTTTGTCATCAAATGGCTACTTTTTGTGTTTTTCAGAAAAATATATGCGATTTTTGTATATCTGTCAAAATATAACGCGATTTGTTTGGAGATGATGCTAATAATGTCTTCTTCTGCATCTTCTACCACTGTTTATAAGTGCATTAGATCTGCCATATATGAGAAAAATGCATTATTCTTCAGCAAAAAGAGATCAAATGTATATATGTATATACTGAAGTGTAAACTTCTACAAAAACTAATGGGAAATTGGGAATATATTGGTTATCAATCTAATCTAAATGCATCCCAAATTGGTAGCCTACAAAAACATAATGACTCTGAGACTTGACCAACAAAATCCAAATCAGATGTGATACCCTTCAAGATCACTCTTTAACAGATGACTGGATAGACCATTCAGAAGGAAAATCAGAGAAGGATAAATATATTGAACTTCACAGGAAATTTTATGTCCGATTTATAAGACGAGAAATTTGGAGTCAGCTTTCCTCCCTCTTTATGTTTTTTCTCCAAGAAAAAAACTCTTTTGCACATACCGAGTATTCCCATCACACATTACTTGCCAAACATAACAAACCTTTTTGCATACAATTACATTAAGTTCCAACATTACAAGAAAATAAAAGAATCCGTACAAAACTTGGGAATTACATAATCTGCAAATACATATAATGGCATTACACTACTTAAGTAATATTGGCTGTTCATAGAATTCAATTTGAATTTGCTCTGAGTGGTGAAAGAATCAATCGTGATTGTATTGCAACTATTTTCAGCGACCGACCGTAATAACTAAAATGGGAGTGCTGAGTACAGAGCTTCATGTGTAGTTTCAATTACCTACACTCTTCCTCACTAAGAGTTCAAGCAGCTGGGATGACATCTCAGATAGAAAGTATAGTCGGTGAAGAACGAACATCAGGCACAATCTGAAGATTTATTCTAATTCTCTTGGTTTCTTAGCACATCAAAGCAAGGATTTGATACTCCATAAATTGCAAGAATAGGTAAATCTAAAACTGAAACCTCCTCTTTGCACGTTTATTGGAATTCATAAGATCCACCAAGGAGGGAAGAGGCTGCGGTACAGGCACATTCATTGACCTGTACAACTTTCTAAAGCTTTCATTAAACCTCTTTGATGATCCAATGGTTGGATAAGAAGCGGTCTTATGGGCTTCTATATCTTTCTCCACAGACCTTTTACATTGCACTTCAGTAACATCTGCCTTGTTCTCCAATGATTTTTTGCACTTCACCTCAACAGCTTCCTCAGTATGGAATGAGAAACCTTGTTCTACTTTATTAAAAACTTCATGTGAAGGCTCATCTTGAATGGATAAACCTCGTTCAACTTTATTTAAAACTACAGGAGGAGGCTCATCTTGAATTGGTGCTATTTTGTTCTCCTCGTCTGAAGTATAATATGACAGCCCAAGTCTTGCTCTTCCAAATAATGTAACAGTCTGCCTTTTCCTAGGAGGAGAGAGAATCAACACTGGTCTCTGGTTAGTGGATATTTTCACTGGTTGTAACAGAGATTCAGCAGTAGTTTGAGTGGGGCCTTCCATCACAAGTGGAAAACTTACACCTGAATTTAAAGAATCTTCAAGACTAATGTCTAGAAGTTTCGAGAGAGAGCACTTGGATGCTAGTTGCGAACCGAAGCAATGCTTTTTAACATAACCCAGCTCCATAGCCCTGCAATTGGGAGTTGTCGACACAACCCATTTGGGTGCAAGAAGTTGCAGTGCCCACTCTAACTCTTCTCTGGACGAGTGCATCGAGTAACAGACGTGCCAAATACCAAACTCATCCCTTACTGCTTCATTTGCTTGCTCTTTTCTTTGCTTTTCATTCTCTGAAAGTTCTTCATCACATACATACCACTGTGCTGAAGGGCGGATTATGAGAGGCTCAGGCAGTAAATTAGCTCGGGCCTCAGTGAGCTTTGCTTTTGCTCTTTCACCCAGTCTAGGAAATCCTTCAAAAAGCTGGAAGCGGGACGATGGATCTTGAGAGAGTATATCAGGAACTGTAAGTGTTAGAGCATCAAAACATTCTGGATTCTTGTCTTTATCAACAAATATCTTAGACCCAAATGTTTGAAACACATTCACAAGTATCTCTTCCTGACCAAGAAGGTCGCAGGTCAGATACACCACTGAGGCATCAGGGTGCTTCCATATACAATTAATAACCTGTGCCATTAGATATGTAACTTAGAATGCTACAACGGTTTGCACTTAAACAAGAAGTTGCTCCAAAACAAAGGAGCAACACTAACACACTCATATACTCCGTAATATACACACATGCATATATATATATATATATATATATATATATATATATATATATATATATATTGGCATCTAAGTTGGCTTCTCAAAGAAAGCACGCCTAACTTTCTTTAAACTTCATTAAATCAGAGAGAGAGAGAGAGAGAGAGAGAATGCAAGTGTTCCATTTATGATAATGAAATACGATATCGTATTCTTTTAAATGACAAGATAATGTGTAAGGGGCTTGAATGCTAGTCTAAGACTTGAGTGTAAGATATACCAAATAAGGCCCTGCGTGTGAATAACTTGTTACCACAAAGAAACCTAAATCGAACAAAGCCAACCAAAAATACCTGTCGGACTGCAGAATGCTTGCTGGGCATCTTTAGGGAGAATCTTCCAAATGTGCAGTCTAAGAAAACATAATCAAGCCGACACGGCAGTTCTCTTCCTTTCTTGCCAATATACTTCTCTGGTAAGCTTTGCAAGCACTCAGAGGTGAGTCTACAATCTCCCGTATGCAGGATGTTACCAAAATCGCCTTCAAACAAGAACATTACAGCTCCTGAAGTTCATAAATAGCACGCCAGACAAGGGATCATCTGTCAATAGAGTTCTCATATCAATTTAGATCATCTACATATATCAGAAATGAACAACCTAAACACACACACACATGAAACAACATACCGGTCCTACGCAACCACACAAAAGATAGATAAATCTAAAGATCAAATGAGTAAGATAAAATAGTCCATTCATAAACAAATTCTAAAAACGAGCACAAGATAACATTGTAGTTCAGTCCTTCAATGATCCCTATTTATTTTATTTCAAACTTTTCTTTTTCGTTTGCCAACTTTTTTAAAGAGTCATTATGTGAGTTTCCCGATATTAAAGGACTGATGCAACAATATTCTGAAATCACCTCTTATTCTAATAGTTGGAATCCTATCAAGCATAGTAGATACTGCAATAAGGGGCCAAAAAGGAACATGTTTTTCTTTTTATTGATAAAATAAAATAAAAATCCATTCATAAGGCTATAAGCATAATTAAAATCTGAATGATACATACATATAGTTATAATTTTATAGACATATTGCAACTTTGTGTCCATCATTCATAATAAGAAGTATGAAAACCACGTGCATCATTTAAGTCCAGAGGCCTCACTTTCGGTGAGACTAGAACCAGCCGCATACACAAGTTGAAAAATAAGCATCACAAAATCAATGAATAGAACACAAAATTTTACATTTTTCCACATATACAAAGAAACATTTAACATACTGTGAAACGGAAGGGTAAATGTTGAATAAAATGTGCCCTTAAGCTGACATTAGAATCCAAATCATATGCTCCGTTAAGTAGGAAGGAAGGAAGAAGGGTGGAAGGAAGACAGGAAGGAAAAAACAAACTTCCTTCGTTTGTGAGAGAGGAGGCAAGGAGAGAAGAGAAAAGAGGATGGATGAGTCATCCTTCCCCCTTCAAAAATTTTCTTCCCTCCAAATATGGACGGAAGACACGAAGGAAGAAAGGCAATGCTATTATAAATGTTTTTAAATTACAAAACTTTCCTTATAATTAACCTTTCTCTTCCCTTCTCTCATAACAAACAAAATAAGGTATTATTTCATTCTCTTCTCTTCCATCGAACCAAACAAAAAGAGGGAAGTACACAATCTCTTCCCTAGGATGTCTCATTGATCTCTTCTTCTCTCCCTTCCATCCAATTTTCTTCCATCCTACCAAACGGAGCTTTAGGGTTTATATATATATATATATAGAGAGAGAGAGAGAGAGAGAGATTCTAATGTAATGTGTAACTGAAGGTAAGATTAACAACGTAAATGTTAATTATTTGAACATATCCAAAAGTTTTACATTATCAAAAACAATGTTTATGATTAATAGCATTTTAGGCATTGTATCAAGTTACTCTATTGTCAATGCAACATGATTATTCAATATAAATTAGGACCTTAAAATAACACAAGAAAAATAATATGAGATGAAGAAAGGGAAAAAATGAAATTGAACTTGCTAGCTGCACTAATAAAAAATAAAAAAAAAGATAAAAATGAAGAATAAACTGCCTTAGATGATCCAGAATTATTCTCAACATAGAACCCATCCTACTCTAATCCATAAATATGATAATAGCTAAATAACTATAATCCTAGGGGCCTAGACTGCCAAATGAGAGGCTAGAGGTGGTGGTTTGAAGCATGGTTCAAGAACAATGCATTTTGACGGAGAGGTTTAGAACAACTATTGCTATAAATGACTAATTGACCATGCCAGAGAAAAGTCACATGATTTGGCCACTCATGTTCTGTAGTGCCATACTTTAATTGGTACAGGAAATACCCAAGAATGCAAGAATGTAAGTACAAGTTATATTCTCCTTTTCTCCTTGAACAAACTTTTTCAATTGTCACTTAACAAAAGGGGAAATCCAACCAAACCAAACTCAAAGAGAAGCTCGAGACCATTTTAAAACTTCAACTCTAACATATTTGCATATCTTCAATGATACGAAAAATAAATCTCATTGAGATCTAAAAAAAAAAAAAAAAAAAAAAAAAAACAGGTAAGAAACTTCATTGGAAATGGAACAAAAGCTAAAGAGGTAAAATCATGAGCAAAACAATTTTAGAACCAAGAAATTGAACCAGATTCTACATTCAATGACTTTAAGAGGGGGGACGAAGACTAGTTCACAATTATAGTTTATCATATATATGTAAAATAACCAAGCTCGTATTTTCTTACAAATAAAAGATGCAAACAAAATAAGATAAAACTATTAGAACCCACAAAGAAGCTTTTATTTTATTTTGTCCTCCTTTGCAAGACACCCAACACTCCTTTTAGAGGTACTATGTAAAGAAAGCTAATTTTGTGGCAATATATGAGATAACCATCCAATAGTTCTTGGCAATTATATTGTCAAAAGCTTTCTAATTTGAAAATAAGGAGATTAAAGAAGCACAATCTGTAGAACGGGAGGAGGGAGGGTTGATTAAATTGAATCGTATGGCCTAAACCAAATCAAGAAGGGACGGATTAATCGGATTGAATCGCATAGGTCATAATAAATTTCAGTGTGACCCTTCCATGAAAGGAAAAAAAAAAAAAAAAAAAAAACAGAGCCTAGAAAGCAAACAAACCCTAAATAAATCCCTATTAATAAGAAATCACAAATACCACCAAACCCAAATAAGCAAATCAATCAAATGGGAAAATATCGCAAATAAATAAATAAATAAACTGATATAGAATGAAATACCAGGACAGTGATTTGCATCGAAAGCAGTAACAAAGAAGACGCCATCCGGGTCATCGATAGAGACTGGTTGGCCGACTTCAATACACACAAACAATGAATCATCAAGCTGCCAAAACAACAGCAAAAAAATTTCAAAATTAGAAAGAAAAGAAATGAAATTGATGTATCTGAAAACAGGGCAAAGTTTGGAGAATTAAGACAAACCTTGGGGTATTGTTGAAGCGTGAGACTTTTGGTGAGAAGGGTGCAATAAATTGGGTATGAAGAGTGAGTGGAGATTCCTTGGGAATGATCTTTGTGGGCATGAGTAAGAAAATGGTGCCTCTTCTTCTTCGAAGAAGGGCTCCATGTATCTACAGAGAATGGTACCCCTTTCGGCATCTCTATAGGCATCTTTCTGTGTGTGTGTGAGAGAGAGAGATTTCTGAATTCACAAGCTTGCGAGAAAGAGGAGAGATGAAATTTGAGGAAAAGGGGGGAAATTTGCGAAACAGCAAAAGTTGAATGGGTTTGAATCTTGTGTGCCATCTCTAATTCTGCAATCGGTCACTGAACTCGTTGGGGCTGCAAATTTTGGCTACTATATCTAGAAAAGTCAATCCCGGGTGGGCCCATTATCTCCTATAATTGGTTTGGGCAACCGACTGAAGGTGTACCCACCTTTTCGTATCCGGCACAACACCTTGATTCCCCCGACAATTATGAGAGAGACGTTCGGGACTTGAGTCGGTTGGGTTTGGGTTTGGGTACGTGGGTAACAAAAAGCATATTAATGTCTTATAGAGAAATGCTAAAAGACCCGATTACTGTTCACCCAACATCAACCGACACACACTTGTCAAGTGCAGATTGGTACAACTGGGCAGACGATTTTTCCGACGTAACTTTACTTTCTCTCATCTCTCTTTCGATCCTCTTTCTCCGTTCTCTCTCCGGTGGAGAATCCTTCATCTCTCTCGGACGTTCCCTTCTCCCTCCCTTCTATCTCGGTTAATCACAAGTTTTTTTTGCTTTCTTGTGAAGACCCATTTCTTCCAAGTTCATCATCGCCGGGATTTCACTGTCGGCAACCATAAGCCTCCGGCCGGTGCTTGTCTTCTCCATCGTCGGCGTCTCCGTCGCTGATCTGCTTTCTTCTCCATACTTAGACTCGCCAACCTTGATTGTATCAAAACCATCAAACCGTCATGGCCGAGGACCAAACTCACGTCCACCATGGTAGACCCAGTTCCGCCTTTGCTACCCAAACCAGAGGAGACCAACACAATTCCGGCGACGAAGTGAGATGATGGCGATGCCGCGATGAAGTGAGATTATCTCGTCGGCAATAAAGTGAGATGATCCCTCTGGTTTCATAGAATAGTTGGGTCGGCGATAAAGATCCGGAGATGTCAATCTTGTCGTGATGGAGGCGGCGGCGGCGAGCAAGAGATGGGCTGTGGTGCTGCACCGATTGCGACTCGTGGCGGCGTGATGGCAGTGAGTGTGGGCTTTGGATAACGGTAGAAGCTTACTGTGAGGATGTTGATGGCGGCGGCGGCGAAGAGGGAGATGGCTGGGTCCGATTCGGTCATGGAGAGCCGGCGAAACAGATCCGGGTCTTGGACTTGCAGCGCGGTATGCTTGCGGCGGCGGTGCCCAGCTGGATGGTTCGGACGGTTCGCTGCACCGGCGAGGAGCAGCTGGAGATGGGCAAGCTTAATCGGCTATGGATAGCGGCTAGAGCTAGTAAACAACAGACGAGGGAGAATGAAAGGTGTGAGTTTGATTCTTATAGATTTTGTAGTTTGCAGAGAGAGAGGATGGGTTTACCGATGGTCGTGGAATTTTAGCCGGAAAGATGGGTTCGTCGCCGATTGTTAGAGAGAGAGAGGAGGGAAAATTGCCACGTTGGACAACCACCTATGCAGTCGGTTTTTTTCGGGTAAATAGTGGTCGGGTCGTGTAGCACCGCTCATGTCTTATAATATTTCATCTAATATTTCATAAGGGCATAATGGTCATATCAAATTAGCTATATCCATATACATATACATATGTATATATATATATATATTTTTTAAAAGTATTTACAACCAATAGATATCTTGAGAAGACTTTTTGAGAGTGGCAGTGTTTGATTCAAAATAATGAATTCTATATTTATCTCAGTTTGCCATTGGGTAGGGCCACAAAAATTGGGAAAAAATAAATTAAAAAAAAAAACGTGGATGGCAGGATTCGAACCTGCGCAGGCAGAGCCCACATGATTTCTAGTCATGCCCGATAACCACTCCGGCACGTAGGGGTGCAACATGGGCTGGCCCAACCCAGCCCGTCCCAACCCAACGTCAACCCGAGGTCGGGTCGGGTTAACCCGAATTGCACCCAACATGGGTTGGGTTATAACCCAGGCTAAACATTTTCGTTCGGTTCAGGTCAGGTTTTTTTAAGTAACTAAACCAAAAAAACAAAATATTTTCAACTGCAAACTTGCCCCTCCTCTCTCTTTCTGCAACTGCAAACTACAAATTCTACAAGAATCAGAAGTATCAGAAGTTCTGTAATGATCCGGTCATTTTCCTTCATTTCCTTTTTCTGAAATTTTACAGATAAATTTTTTCCGTTAAATTTTCTTTTCTGAGTTCGGTTATTCATCATTTAGTGTCGTCTTGAATGCTCGAAAATGGTTTTTGAGACTTTTTCTTTTGGATTGACAACTTCCTTTAAGGATCGAGTCATTTCCACATTTTGTCAAGTCGGGAACTCTTAGAATTTCCTTCCAATTGTTTTCCCCAGTTTTAGGGTTTTCGGCCCAGGTTGCCGCGGAACTTGTGTCGAGCATATATTTTTGCACGGGACTCGGTTTTCGACACCGTTTCTTCTGTTGTTCATTTTTTTTCATTTCGGTTCTTTTTCGTTCATGGTGTTCTTACCGTTTGAGCGTGTTTGTGCAAATTCCATATTTCCAGACCCGATAGGGCACTTTTAGGGTTTTACTATAAATAAGGGGTTTTTTTTCATAATTATGAAAATTAATTATTTTTCTCTTTAAGGAATTTTTTGCAATTTATTTTGGTAGATATTTTCAAAACTGACCTTTTTGTAATTATCGAAAAAGTGTGACAAGTGTCGCGCTCTCATTGGGCCACTTGTAAATATCTCATTGGTTAATACTTGGAAGCCTTGGATGATGACATATGGAGGGTGGAGATTCACCCATTTGTTGGTCTAGCATTGATGCACTTGTTGGCTTGGATTGTTGGCAAGTGTAGGCTTTAGATTAAGCCTAGAATGAACCATTGGATTAATGACAAGTGTAGGCTCCAAATTAAAGTTTAGCTTTTGTGTGTGTGTAGGCATGGTGCAAGACTAGGTGTAATTGACTTGCTTTGACTAAGTGAGTGGAGGATTACACCAAAGGGGCTTAATATTTTATTTTACATGATTTTTATTTCATCATCTTCCTCACATAAAACCTTAGCCACCATTGAAGGAAACTATTAACCTAGGCTTAAAATCTTGGTTTTGACCGCCTTCCACTCATTTTATTTCATCATCTTCCTCACATAAAACCTTAGCCATCATTGAAGGAAACCATTAACCTAGTCTTAAAATCTTGGTTTTGACCTCTTTCCACTCATCTTGGACTCAAAAGTTTGGAACACAAAATACTTGCCTCACCTTCCTCTATATAACCCTTGAAGGAAATTCAAAAATTCCTTTGTTTGCTTTGGATTCAAGAGGAACAATTTTCTTGTGAGGTAGGGGGTGATTTAGGTTTTTAATCCAATTGTTTTAATTGTTTTTATAGCTTACAATAAATTGTTTACATGTCTTATACTTAATTTTTAAATTAATAGATTGTAGTATCTTGCATGAAATTAAGATAGGATATGATATTCTTGAAGGTCATGACTTGATCTATAACTTGTATTAGTATAAAGTCATTTGGAATTGTTTTAGAATCTAGATATTTAATTATTTAAAATTAATTAATTTTTTATTTAATTGCTTCACTTATTTAATTAAGGTTTTGAGTTTATATATGTAATTACCATGATAGTACCATTGGCATATAATTATTTGGAGTCATTTGAAATTGATTTAAATTCTAGAGAAATTAATTAGTTAGTTTAATTAATTTCTATTCAAGTGTTACATTAATTTAAATTGACATTTGACTTGATATATGTAATGAGTATAGTATATTCTTTAACATATATTAAATTGAGAATATTTGAATCAGTTTGGAAAACTTTATTTAATTATTTTCTTATATGAAATTTAATTCACCTAGTTGTACCTAGTGTAGAATTAACTTGTAACTTGATTTTAAACAATGTATTGACATGTTCTTTCATATATATTAAATAGAGAATATTTGAATGAATTTTGAGAAATTTATTTAATTATTTTTTTGGCATTGATCTTAATTTACCTTGTTGTAACTAAGGTAGAATTGGCTTGTAACTTGAAATTAAATTAGGTTTTGCTATGACCTTTGACATATAATATATTTAGAATTTTTGGAGTTGCTTTGTAATCTTGAAAATTTAATTATTTAATTTAATTAAGTTTCATTTGTATGCTTTCATTGAGGTAATTAAGTATTGATGTTATATTCTTGCTTAACTTATAATTTGCAACTTGGTGTATGATTACAAGATGGTATTCCATGAGTAGAAGTTATGATTTAACTTGTTATATACACATTATCCTTATATGACATTTAATATGTCATTATAGCTTGAAGGCTTAGAGCATATCTTGTGTGTATTCCATGACTTGGTTGTGCATGGTAATTGACAATGTGCATTGTGTATATGTGATATACTTGTTGTACAACTTGATGACTTTTGAAAAGCTTGTATGGATATTGTAATATGTTAAGGCTAGAGTATGTCTCTAGTACGGGGGATGAGAGTTCCCTCTAAAACATATAGTGTGCATTAGGTAGTTCCTTGCGAACTAGTAACCTGAGATCACTTGTTTGGTCATTGAGACCATATGTCCTTTGTCTTTCCGCCATTGGTTGATTTCGTATTCAATTCCTAGTTGTAATTGTGGATTACTTTTAACTTGTGCTTGGACTCATGGTACTTTAGTTCTTGCTTAGTATACTTGTATTTGTATACTTGTACGCCTTGTATATCAAAAATGTTTTGTATACTTGAATTTGTATACTTGTATGCTATGTATGTCAACATTACTTAGTATACTTAGAAATATATACTTGAATATATATGTTGTATTATATTTCAATATTGCTTAGCGCACTTGGTATGTACACTTGTATATTGATGATTTACTTTATAGATAACCTAGTAGACTTGTATCTTATATACTTGTCTTAAGTGCATTTCAATATTGATTGTATACTAGTGTACGTATACTTGTATATTGAATATCTTGTTACGTGTACCGCATGCTTTTATGTTGCCTAAATTGCATGAATGATTTGATTTATGCTAGAAATGTTTTAAAGTAGCTTAGGATGCTCCCTGAGTCTCACCTTGGACATAGACGCTAGGTGGTATTGACCTTATATATTAATTTATATCAATTTAATGAACAGTAAAATATTAGGTTTATGCATACTCATTCCCTACGAGTAACTTGTTTACTTACCCCGAAGTTACCGAGTTATTTTTAGGTACGAATACCTTGGTTTGAGATGCACATCATTCCTTGGATGACTTGTAACTTTTAAGTTTACATTT